ATGCGAATATTATTGCGAGGAAATCTCCCGGGTGTATTAAGTATGGGGAAAATCAAATTACGACTTCTCTATCCATTCGCGTCACAAAATAATTACATGATTATGCTGTGGCCATACGGAATACAAAATGACGTCACTAGTTTTTACGAAATAAGGTGGATGAAATTGTTGCGTTTTTTCTGCAACTCTAGGAAATCAAACACGCTTCACATCACATCGTTAAAGCGGGAGGGTCGTCACCTGAGCAAAAAAAAAAATAAAAAAAAAATGATTATCTTTAGAGTTATGGTGACGTCACTAGTTTTTACGAAATAAGGTGGATGCAATTGTTGCGTTTTTTCTGCAACTCTAGGAAATCGAACACGCTTCACATCACATCGTTAAAGCGGGAGGGTCGTCACCTGAGCAAAAAAAAATTAAAAAAAATGATTATCTTTAGAGTTATGATGACGTCACTAGTTTTTACGAAATAAGGTGGATGCAATTGTTGCGTTTTTTCTGCAACTCTAGGAAATCAAACACGCTTCACATCACATCGTTAAAGCGGGAGGGTCGTCACCTGAGCACGCGCGGGAATCGAGTCTCAAGCGATGATAACAACACACGCTAAAAACACGCTATGGCCATCTAACGCATGCGCAGGTGACGACTCCCCCGCCTTAACTATTCACAGAATGAATACATATTTGACCTGACAGGATGTGACGTATTTGATTGCAATGGATATGATGATTGACATTGTGGGTTGAAAAGATTGGTTTCTACGTAATGCCTGTATGTAACGTCAAACAAATAGAATTTCAATTGCTTTCTCTATCACTGTTCAATGTCGTTGCTATTGTATTGAGAAATGAAAAAAAACATTTCACTAAACATCACTGTGTTTCAAAATAAAAGAAAAAAATCCTACATTTTTTTCTCATATTTTCTCTTCTCCAATTCACTTTATACTGAGCTACATTATATTTCACGATGATGTTCCTGTGTTTTGCTTTTGTTTTTCAAGTATGTGAATTACTTTGCTGTGTAGGACGTGAATAGGACAGTATGTGTTGTTGTTTTTTTATCTGAGACGATGCCATCAAGTTCGGCTCACCTGTACGCTATTTGAATAATACTAGAAAAAAAACTATTGTGTCCACAACATGCGGAGAAAAATATTTCTCTAATTTATTAGTGTTCGTCGTCGATGGCGTAAGCTATTTGCATGATATTTTAATTGACTGAACCGACAACAATCCACCATTCAAAACTTCACTCTTTGGAATGTTGCGTGCGCTCGAACTAATAAAATAGCGCTTAGAGTGCTACTGTCTGTTCGTACGGAGCGCAATTTCGTTTTATTATGATTCAATTTGCGCCTAAAAAAGAATAATATGACAACATATTGAACTGCATATTGGCTTGCCCTACGTCTACATGTCTGTGGTCGGGGGTCGTCTATACGTATTATGATACTAAGCCGTCGCACGGTGTATGCAGGACTGCACAGTGGGGTGTGATTTATCGTTCAACTCGTGTTCCAAGTAGTCATCGTTTGATGAATGACTATCTAGTACGTACCAATAAGTACGTACCATTAAGTCAATGAACGTACGCATTATGTCCTTTAAAATTAAACTGGTAAGTTTGAAAAAAAAAATATGCGATATATTATCTATAGTGGTCTTACACACGTGGTACTCGTTAATATCGCAAGGTATAAATTTATTATAATTCGGTCATGGTTGCTATGGCAATTGATTTTGTTTTTCCCAAATTTGTCTATATGTCAATTTATTTGTATATATCTATATATATCGGACACTATCCACGTGGACACTCCTAATGTGTAACACAACTTAAAACAAAATAACACTCGTAGGGGCGGATCTAAGGTTCTGGAATGGGGGGGCGATAAGTTGGCCGAAGGCCAAGTTCGCGAGCGCCGATGGCGCGAAGTCCTGTTGGTTGTTAAAAATAGGGGGCCGCGGCCCCCTCGGCCCCCTCTAAATCCGCTCATGACTCTGTAATTCAGTTTACGTGAAATACGTGACATAATGCACAGTGGAATCGTCTGCAGGGGTTAATAAACGGTTTGTGTGTAAATGGTGGCGTATCTCGTCTAAATGGGGTCATATAAGTGAAAATGGTTTTACCGTTATTGTTGAGCAAGCAGCACGTAGCACAATGTTGAAGTCGGGGCTTTCAATTTAATATTACAAGGCAACGTGGGTTATGTCGGAATCAATTTGTTGTTTTTAAAATATAATAATGCAGTTATTTAAAAAAAAAACGTATCTGCCATTTAGAAAACATGTACAGTGATATCCTGAAGGCCAATCATTTGCTTGTTTTATTAGCACAACACGATGTTAAACATTCATGCTCGGGTCAACAAAGGTCATAACAGATTACAAAAGCACAGCAGTGTGTGGGTACTGTAAAGGGGGTAATTATTCACTGGGTTTTAATTTAGCTTATTTCGCTGACTGGAAAAATGCGCTAAATTAAAACACAGTGAATATGTAAAATTTAGCATAGAACACATTATCTAAATGACGAAACCGTGAATTTAAAACCCACTGAATATGCCTGAAATGGTAAATCAGTGAAATTTAAACCCAGTCAATATTAGTCATTTTACAGTATCAGTTTCTGCGTTAAAGTGGAATATCGATCGTCATTCATATGTTTAGTGCCTCTAATATGTTAACTCTCGATTAATTACAGTCAGGTGTTGTGTTATTTTTCTTCTTTTTTTTTGTAAAATGAACAATAGAAAAAATACATCAGCGTGCGTTCGGTAGATTTATATATTTAAAAAACCCGTGACAAAATAGTTAATCTTGCGGACGGGGAATTTCAACTACTGTAAAATTATTAATAAACATATAAGTAGTTTTGTTTTTTTCTCTCGGAGCCTAATCAATTGTGTGCTGCCTACATTGCGAGGTATCCAGAGGAATGTTCATTCATCGGACAACGGTACTTGTCATGCGCCAAGAAGTGGCATAGCAACGCAAGATTCGCGGCAAGTTAAAGCGAGAGGGTCGTCACCTGCGCACGCGCGGAAATCAAGTCCTACGCGATGATAGCAACACATACAAAAAACGCAAAGGCTCATGGGTAGACGCTTGTTTAAACAATGAAACGCTGTGGCCATCTGACGCATGCGCAGGTGACGACTCGCCCGCTTTAAATAAAGGCAATATAACTTGCTCCAAATTCTATATTTTCCCACAGTGTATAAAACTATCAACAGGGGTTAATTTTTGACAGCGTGTCGTTATAAAATTTATAGAAAATACGACAAATGCATTTAATAAAACACATATATTCACCAAAGCACTGGCAAGGTGCCGCAGTTTCCCTTAAAATGCAAGTTAAATTTCACGGGAAATCACGTGAAAATGCGTCATAAAAGTAACACTATTCAAACAGTGTCTCTTATAGAAAAGAAATGTAATAACTCCATATTGGATTTTACAAAGGATTGTGGGATAGGGAATTGAAATATAGAGGGCGTTTGGAGGGGAAACTCACATCTTTTCCATACAGCCCTGTGCTAACATCGACTGTAAACCACTCCTGTTTTCAAGCAACGCGTTTTTTTTAAATTGTATGGTTATGTTGCTGGACTTTCCATTAATATTACTGTGAAGATTGTTTTCAGATTTTTTACTGTTTTGGCGCCCTCTATAGTTCAATTGTCTATCTCCGAATCCTTTGCAAATTCCAATATATGGAATTAACACATTTCTTCCCTGTTCAAAGAAATTATAAAAGTTAAACAGATGAGCACGTAATGAAAAATGAATACAGCGATTACAAAATATGTAAATACAAACGTGTACAATACATAATGTGAAAATCCGAATTAGATTCCATGGACACGGATATTCATCGACACAATAAAACCATTTAGAAACCAAAACAACTTTACAAACCCCGAAGGCTGTCATACAATATTCATTCTGATCAGTTGTAGTGACCTTCAGTCGATGAATTTAATCAGCTGCGTGGAAAACTAACCTGGTGTACGTGTATGTATTCATAATCACGACCATGTTTGTGAGTTTGAATACAACAAATCACAAAAATGATAGTATAAATTAGGTATTGACTCACATCTAATCATCCTGTTTGAATACAATCAATTACGACCATGTTCGTGTATTTGAATACAACAAACCACAAATTTGATTTTGTAGATAGTATAATTTAAGTAATAAATCACAACTAATCAGTATCATGAACATCACGGTTTCCATGGCAACAATGTGCGGTTCAAACATAGTAACACTTATTTGTTATGGGGGTCGCGGGACGGGGGAAAGAACACTTTCCCGGAAGTCGAAGATACGACGTTTCACATGCGCGCGCATACCGATTATGGGGTACAACCAAAGGCGACGGCACGAGATTTTGCATGGAGCGAGATCTGCTCGCCATCCCTCGCATCAAAGGCGCGACCTGGGGGACGAGAGCATGATCTTCCGAGAAAAAAAAATTAAATATAGACCCTCTGAAACGCTATTTCCTGCATTTCGAGGGGCAAGACTTTCGGGGGACGACCCCTCCTCCCATGTTTAGGCGTTCCCCTTGCACACGTGATATTGTGCTTGTGGTTGTACCAGTCAACGTCACATAAATACAATTCCCTTTTACTGATTGTTAACGGACTGAAATGTTTGTATCTGACGCCATGACAAAAGCAGGCTTCTTTCTGCACCCCAGTCTCGCTACTTCTGGGAAAGTGGTCTATACGCTTCTATCTCAAACTATGATATAGCGATGACTAACTAACGCATTGGTTTGATTTGTAATTGCCCACCAATGTGTTGAACTACACAGACCAAGCCGAGTTATCGTACTTTAGTACATTCCACGAACGAGGATGAACAAAAATGACGAGCATGGTTACGTCTTCGGACAAGAATACCACGTGACATATTAGGATACATTAGAAGGGCCGACTAAGATGTGATTATCTTACGTACATGTATTCTCTTTTCCAGCTCCGTATGTCAAGCTGTATTTAATGTGGGGTCGAGTGTGCATTGGAAAGAAGAAAACGCGAACAGTCGAACCCAGCTTTGTGCCTGTATTTCAAGAACAGTTTGCGTTTAGTTGGGAGTACACAGGCAAGATATTACAGGTAAATCATTATTTAATATTTAGTAGTTTCCCATGATGCATTGTGATACGACGATTTATTTATTTATTTATTTGTTTATTTATTTATGTTTCACTACAAAAATTAGTACCTTATTATTTTCGTTAAATTGCACAAATTTATGAGTATCGAGGTCGCAATCATCACGTAATCACCACGAATGCATTTAATCAAAAACAGACATTCTACTTGTTAGATGTTTACCCTATGAACAGCAAACGATTCAGCAGGATCAAATTACTCTCGTTCACTGAACGACAGATTAGATTAGCGCATGTTTTATTTGTATGAAGAATCTCTGAGACACGTCCTCTGAATAAGATCCAAGATGCGATTAGATTTAGTGACAATATTATTTACATGTGAGTCACTAAATCTAATTTAATTTCAGAATTGTATAAAGTACCTGAATTGTAAGACTTCCCACCTTAAAAGTAATGATTGTGTGAAAGTGATAGCTTTTCTTTCCAATAACAAATGGATACAGCTGTATCGGATGTGACGTATGTTTTGTCAGAAGGAAATTCTTATATGACTGCACGTAATTGTGGGTAAGAAAAGAGGTCATAGGTCAATGTGATATTCAAATCAACCCGCTGGAAAATATATGCAAAATAAAACAATAACTTCCATCGATAGCGATCTGTTTTATAGTCTGTCTTCATTATCTCGAATTTGATTGGCTGCGTATAAGGCCCCGCGACTACCTCCTACCTCATGCAACTTTGTTCATATTTCTGTATACTCGCGTTGCTTTGGCAACTAATAACAACACCGAGTGTCGAATTGTGCTGCACATGCCTACCAGCAACACAAACCACTAAATGATAAATTTCTTCACGTTAGAACTGAGTAGCTGTTGTTAACGATGTTAGATAGAGTTGAGTGATAGAGTTAAGTTACTTATAGCGTATTGGGTCCATTCATTGTGATAACTCAACTCAAATCAGTGTCTGTATTTGCCCCTACTCGTCATCAGTATACCTAGCATATGTTGTTTTATTATCCCTGAAGATAAAAAATAACAATTCCTAAATGAACATAAATACGACATTTTGAAAGAATTCGCGTTAAATATATAATTAATCGACAAATAAATTGTAAATACATATCGAAATTAGTAATTGTTCATACCATGGAAACAGTACTACTGATGTACAGAGAATGGCATTATTGATATCAAATTTAATACAATTTGACTTCAAAATATTATTATATTATTATGATAGTACATATTATTGTAATTTAACAACTTGTAGCAGTGACTAGAAATATTAAATATCGACATTTGATATACTGTATCCACTTCCCGATTCTGTAGTCCACCAGGTACATGTAAATTAACCAAGAAACTCATGCACGTTTCAAATCAATCAAAGACCTCAGCCATCTACCGTGATCTGCCCTGTCACGGCTTCCAATGTTACTTGGATCATCATTAGCCATTCCGATGTCGTCACCTCGCTTGTCATCATCAATAGTTGTATCATGCTAGAAAGGGGAAGTGGTTGCTGTCTGCCAGTCTGTCTGCCCTTCCACAGTCGGTCATTGTCTTTCCCGCGAACCAGGGACTCAGCTTGAACAGGCTGTGCTGTGGTAGCATGATTAGTTCGTTTAGTGTTCGAGGGGGTAATAATATCATTCATTTCGCTTTCCAGGTCGTTTGCTCGATACGCGCGAATGTCGTATTTTGTTCTGTAGTGCCATGGCGCGTCTGTGTAGAACTCAGAAAGCAGGAATTCCAATGCATAATATTTCTTGCTTAAAGCGCGGCTCCGCAGGGATTGCACCAGTGCGTCATGGGAAATGTAATTTGCATGGTCCACCCAGTTGTTTATTTGTTACACAGCTGTTATCATTTCAATCGAAGGTGTTAATTAATTGTTAATTTTTAACGACACTTGATCTGCACTGTCTTCGAAGAAACAAAATCCACAGTGAAAAGCTATCGTATTTTCACCTTTAATTAATGGCGAAACTCTTATCATTTCGAGATTTTTATTGATAACGTCTTTTTTTCTTCGTATCTTTTTTACGTAGGTTAAAGTTTGGGGTAACTATGATATGCTATTGGATCGTAAAAACTTCATTGGAATGGTGCAAATAAGATTAGAACAGCTATCTGTGCCGCAATCGGGTGAAGAATTAAATGGATGGTATAAACTGTTACCAGTGCCTTGAACGAGGATGACACGTGACGTTTAGTTATCAGATATACATTTTCGGATATGCGCATGCTCAAAATCACACGTGATTTGTGATTTTCGTCTGTCTTAGTGACAAGATGTTATCGTCTTTGGAAGTACAACTCGGAACGATGATTTCAATAACATATCTTTACGAAACTTAAAATGTACTTTTATTTTGTACTCATACTTTTGTTATTCTTAGCAATTGAGGAGAATAGTGATACGTTACAGTACTAGACTAAATAGAAGCCAGGTATACCAATTAATCATTTGCGGGTTTCTGTATCACACGATGTTTTTGTCCGAGAACGGCATTTTGTCGTCTTTGTTCGTAGATAGTTGTTATAAAACAACTAAAACAATCCATTTCAATCTATGAATATTCATGAGTATTTATTTGATATCGTTTGCAGGTAAACGCTTGATTTATAGTGCCATTAATTCCTGCAAATGTGCAGTCACGTTGTTCATATGGGTGAATATACGTGAGCCGTTGACAGTGTGCGTCTGGAACGAGCCTGTAGAATTACGTATCGTGTGTCGTATGACGCTCAATTTGAACCCAGAAATTATTTATTGGATTCGATAGCAACAACTGTAAATTACAGGAATTCGAATTATTCAATGGTTACATACTATATCTGCATCGTGATGACTGCATCTTGCAGAAAATTTGGTTATTGTTGAACTGAATTTTAAAATAAAATGCTACATATAAATTATGTCGCATATGGAAAGAAGACTAAGACGTGATACGTAAACATCGTTATTACTTTCACGAAGCCTAGTGTATTCACTTCAAATTTGACTGCCTACACCTGGTATCCGTCACGTGACACTTCAATCGTCATCTTTTCTTATCTTACACAAAAAGAATCCGCATAAGTTTATATTTTTTGTCAAGACTTGTAGCTAAAAAGAAATGTTCTTGATTTGGTTAAAATAACCACCGATTATTGTTTATAAACAAACGTTTGCCCATGAGTCTTTGCGTTTTTATCGTCGCTTAGGATTGGCTGGTTATCGCCTCAAGTGTCATGGCGTACCAAGCCACAAGAGACCGGTAACTTGTAACGGCATTTTGATTGGTCCATCCACAGTCCCTCTGTGGTCCATCACTTTCTCGTAGCTTTTTTTATTTTCCTTGGTTACCTAACGTCAGCGCTTACGCTCGTGGCCGTTCAGGGGTTTCCTTTCGAAAGTTGGGCGAATAATTTGAAAATTTGCACAGAAACAGCGAGGAATGTTAGAATGTATGAGCATGGTTTTATTGTAGTATTACAGACACGTTTACGCAGAACGGAACTTGGAATGTTGTTAAATTACGTCATTCGGTCACGTGCCTTCCGGCCGGAAAACCGGCCCAATGGGACAATGTGGCGATTACGAGTTACCTGCGTTCTACTTGCCATTCGCAAAGGTCGCTGGGAACCAGCGAACACTTAGGACTCATACCCGCGCGTGCGCAGGTGAAGACCCTGCTGCTTTAAATCAATTTACAATATACATATCTGTACATGTCCCATAGACGAAAAATACATTCAAAGTTTGCTGTCGGACAACGACCACCGATTTTTCGCCAATCACGTTGCCTGCCACTGAAATTGACGTTTGCCACATTCCTGGTAAAGTTCCTTGCGTTAATGGCGACTCGATCATGGGATAATTGTATCACCCATTGTAGCAGTTCAGAACAACGATTTTTATCAAAAATAATCAGAAATATGTATTCGCTGAAGTATTTCTTGGCAATGTACAGTACTAAATTAGTACTGTTATTTCACTGTCTCTTAAGGGTGGTAGTCGTCGAGCCGCGTGTGCGACATTTGTGTTGATGAACATTAATTTCCCCACATTACAGTGCGTTCTTCTAATGAAATCACGAGTACGAGTATTACACTGGGCAACGTACACTAATTGACACAGGTGAATCCTTCGATACCTTCCAGTTACCTAAAATATACTTAGTTAAAGCTCAGTAACGTCATCAAGTCGCCATCTTTGTTTATACGTGACTCAGCACAGTCCCTCTATCAGAGGGACTGTGGACTCATATCTCGTGGATGCCTGGCGCTAAGAACTAAACAGAAAACATAGTTTTTCAACTAATTTCGTGCGTGAATTATTAAAAATGTGTATAAAATATGAAACAATTACAGACGTTACGACATGAGCTATATACGAGAATTTATTTGATAATGTAAAATTATTACTTTTGCCAAGAATTGCGAGATGAGGATTGCGCGATGATTCTTGCTAATGACCCTTGCATTCAAGGACAAAGGGACGTATCATATGTGACGGCTGTATAAACGTACTTATTTTTACAGACATATACAATTAATATGCAAATTAGTAAAAATGATGGTATTTGCCCTGTACATCGCGTAACATTGTCTGTAAGTGACAATGCAGACTGGATAGTAACTTGTAACTATGATGATGTCAAATTCCACCACAGTCACCGGCATACGTCATACGTACAGATGAAATAGGTTAGGGTGTTTTACCAAGACTCGCTTCAATTGCACCCGCTTCTTTGAGGTTGTCAATTGAAAAAGGTTCAGACGAACTAATAAATATTTCGCTTCCCTTCTCGCCTACCCTCATTCCATGGCAACGCTGGTGTTCCCGCGACTTTTTTTACAGCACAACACAATAGCCCACACTTTATGGTAACTATGTAGTTCTAGTTGAATTGTTGTGTATGGCAGCAAATTGTAAAGAAATGTAGAATTTGGAATCATTCATTTTATGTGAAAATTTCGTTGTTTATATATACATTATAGGACATACTTTAGCATAAGTTATCGAAACAAGTAACCCCCTCGCCAGGGAAAATATCCCACAAGCAAACTTCGAAGGTCGAACATTACATACATGATCCGAAGTCACTTGTGTCCGGATCACATAAAGCAGAATTTCAAAAACAGCTTTGCATGCCGGGATTTATGGTTGCTAGAAACTACATTAATGACCATTAGAGACACTATCATAATCGATTACGATCCAACACGGATAACTCATAAAACTGTTATTATTCGAAATTAAGCGGGGGGGGGGGGTCGTCACATGCGCATGCGTCAGATGACCATAAAGTGTCAATGTTTACAAACAAGCGTCTACCCATGAGCCTTTGGATGATATCAAACTCTCATGAGCCTTTGCGTTTGTAGCGTGTTGTTATCGTCTCTTGGGACTCAATTCCCGCACGTGCGCAGGTGATGACCCTCACACTTTAACTACATGGTTCATTTTTTTGTATGTAAATGTCAGTTCAAGAAGCAATACAGTTTTAATAACAGCGCAATAAACATTATTGTGAAGCAAGCGTAATGGGTACATTCAGTCGTAGAAGGTAATAGGATTACTACGCTATTTTATTTTAATATATAATAGTGTGTTCTTGTTTTTCGATGAATTGCAAGTGGATGTTAGTGTGACGTCACCTGCGCGCGCACCGGAATTGAGTCCCAAGAGACGATAACAACACACGCAAAGCAAACGCAAAGACTCATGGGTAGACGCTTGTTTGTAAACAATGACACGCTATGGCCATCTGACGCATGCACAGGTGACGACTCCCCCATTTTAAGTCAAATCTATGACGTTTCAGATTACTGACCATATATTCCTGTGTATTTTATAGTTTTTGACACTAAATCAACGATTTCTTTATTTCAGATCATTTTTTTTATCAGTCATTGTAAAATATTTTAGCTCATACGTGTACTAAATCGTGAAACAGTGTAAATTGGTTTTAAACATGAAATCCTTGGCAGCTGAGTGCACAGATACGCCGCTATCGACGTGGTCCTCAGTGTCATATACCGCTGTGTTCTGAACAGTCGCGTCGGTACAAAGAGCGATGCGTAGCTTTCCTAGGGCTTCCATGAACACGGATGTCAAACCCAGCGAAAGGTTGTTCGGGTCGAAGCTGACGTCCCACCATGGTAGTGTTTTTCCCATGAAGAATTCTCCGACGGCGTCGACTACAACACACTGAGGGAACGTCACTAAGGCTCGATAACTGCCGTAGTTCAAGTGCATGCAGTCCCCATCCATACCGCCAGTCGCACTCTCAAAGCGCATATACAGTCGGTCGCCGTCCACAATTTCGCCGTTCTCATCGACGAAGAACCCGCCGACGACGTCCAATCTCTCGGTGGTATCGTCGAGCTTTTCTACGAAAAGTTCAAGCTCCGTGCGTTCGGTGAATACGTTGTCGTCACCGAGGTAGAGAAAGTATTTGGTACGAACCTGACTAATGGCTAAACTCATAGCGGCGAACTTGTTGTGTTTTTCCGGCAGAAAATACTGTTTGACACCGGACATGTTCAGTTTCTGGGTCTCGGTAGGGGGCGTGTAATCAGCAACAATGATCGTGGTGTTGTGATAGAATTTGCGCACGCTTTCTAAAAGTGTTCGGACTTTGACGTAATTGTGTATGGCTGTGATCACGGTAACCTTTCGGCTCACGTGGTTATCAGGACCGGGGTCGTACAATCGCGGTGGATTCTTTCGCTGAATATGAACATGAACGTGAAGAACAAAATTTAACACTTTGATTTCCACAACATCGCGGTGGTTGACGTCATAGTATGAACTGTAATATTGGACGTTTTTCAACATAATATTGATTAATGTTAAATCTCGTTTAACCCGCATGGTGGCGCTTTTTTGCACGTTGTTTTCTGTGGAAACAAAATCCTTGTAATATTCCGGAGTTTCGATGAAAATCTTGCCGAATTCTTTCAGAGATGTAAACGTGATGACAATGTCGCCCTCAATGGTGGATGATATCAAACTCTCATGGGCGTTGAGGCCAACCAATCGCACATATTTCTTGGGTTCTACCGTTATACCGCCACCAACGTACTCAAGCGGGGAAAGGGATGGACAAACTACGATCGGTTCTCGCTCCTCTTCTTGTTTTTTCTCCCATTCCTCCCTGTCCAGACTTCCTCGCTGGCCGTATTCCTGTAAGGAACTGCCGAAATATATCCTGTCAGCATCGCCACCTTCTTTGCATGAGCATTTAGCCTCGTCCAACGACATAGTCTTTCGATAATGCTCTTCCAGGAAAGACAAGCGCTTGCCGGATATGACGTCACTTTTAGTGGCGGCCTCAACGATACGTTTGATGGAGGTTGGTACGTAGAGATTCAAATAAGCGAACGATATTATCATCGACGCAGTCCCGACTAATATGAGGAAAGTTAGACAAAGTTTAAGACTAAAGTTCATTTTGGCTAAAATTACGACGTCACATCGAAACGAAATTTACTCTGCAAACGGAAAAAGAAATATAAAAAATTAAACATTGTTAAAAATAAGAAAACTGATTGCATACTTAGTCGCATCGATGTTTAGCGCATGGATCTGCGTTATATAGTGCGCCCTCGTAGTTAGAATTAAGCTGCGAACTAGCATTGTGTCAACACAGGTGGTGCATTAGAGGGCGCAATGATGTGCGGAAGTACTAGTATATAGCAAAGTGAACGAAGTCCGATACGGACCAGACCTGCAATTTGCAGGTTACATGCGTCAGATATCTTCACTACACTCTTGTGTAAAATGTCCGGGTACAAAGTAAACACAGTATACTCTGTTTTATGCTAATGGAGGGAACCGTAAACATTATCAACACGACACGAGAGTACCATGACCAGAAGGTCACGGCCGTATTTGTCTTAACAAGAGACCCAACGCATACCTCTATGCAGAACTCAGCAACATCGGTGTCCAACAGCTTATCTTGCCAGCAAACTGATAAAATCTCCATAAACGGATAGTCTTGGTGTGTTTATTTCAAGCCAGTGACGACGGTCATTGCTTGAGCGACTCAGCGTGAGAAGCTGATTACACAGTAACTTACTACATTAATATTTAACTACGTTTAAGTAATACGTAGAATATCGATAGATGGCGCTAGGTATTTTGTCTACTATCACGTAAGTCGGTGATACTTGCTTATATAAATTGATGATAAATTTGACTTTTCCGCCAGGGTTTCCAAAGTTTACTTGTGAGATTAACAGAAAAAGAACCCCTTTATTGATCTGCGATATCGTGGACATACTACACTTTACGTATGCTCTTTTAACTGTTTTCCCGCTAAAATATTGGTCCCTCATAATATTTGTAATGTAGATTTGTTCTGTGACAAAAAATGACTTTGTGTTCAAAAGGTTAGAGTTCAATGATGATAGAAACAGAAACATTCTCACCCAGTAGATCGCCGTTCCCGCAAATTTATGGAACCTATGCACAGAATGTCAGAAGGGTAGTTATCGAGGATCGGGGAATCAGTAACCTTCCCGGAGAGAAACGAAAACGCTAACCACTATTTCACGCCGAGTTAATTCGAACCTACACAAATATTTGAGGACATTTTAGAACACACTGAAAATTCTATATAATACATCATTTCCTTTAAAAGTCGCGCCCTCTAACGACTGAGCTACTCTATGACGTAAATTTGTAACACAAAATCCATTCAAAGCTACGTTCATCGATGAATATTATGTTTTCGGGTGATCTGACCAAATTGTAGATGACTACATTGTAGGAATACTATTGACCTAACGTGCATGGACTGGGGGTAACTATACGCAGCGGGCACATAAATGCGAAACGAAAATACCATGGCGATTTTTTTCTGAATCTGAATTCATATCTACTATTATAGTTCCAATCATCTTTTAAAAGGCCTTCTTTCAGTTCATTCATTTTAGATTAGCGTTGTTTGCTTTGAAAATGCAGGCGGTTAAAGGAATACATAGTGTTCATGCGATACACAGAGATAGTTTCTACTTGATAAAATCACATCCAATCAACTTCATTTCATCAATGCCAACAAACGAATGAAATCGACATTATAGTCGGTATACTGATTGGTTATCGCAATTCAAATCTGTTCACACATACTAGTATATTATTTATCAATACGACTCAAATATGTTTATTGTTCCCACAAGAGGGCGTGTTTAATGAAATTGAGTTTATTGACTGTTTGTTAATGTACCAAGAGTATTAGCTCAGACGTCTGAGATATTAGTAAAAATTAGTACACATGGAGGTGGAACTTTAGTAAAATTAGAAAGAGCGGTGGTCGTCGCGCCGCAAATCTGGGACATTTGTGTTTTATAAACATGTATATGCCAACAATCCAATGCGCTCTTCTGATGGAAATCACTGGTTCGAGTGTTGACCTATGCGTGTGGTGCACTAATCACCACCAGTGACTCCTTCGATACATTCCAATCACAATAATAATTACCTAATTAAAACTTTCCTTCCAATCACCGAATAAATGACATATTTAAAGTTTGGTGACGTCTCAGTTTGTTTCCGTTGATCCGCACAACAAAACATTGTTCATATAAGACCCATATCTCGCGCATGCGTGGCGCGACGACAGCTGCCCTTCAATAAAACAAGTAATGACATTGCAGGGTAAACAAAACTGAAATGAGTCAGACATTAGAGTAGGGAAGTAAGAAAGTATTTTCCTTCCAAGAAAGGGAAATAGATGTTTCTATTTCTGTTTTCTTTCTGTGTCATGTAGTTGTAAAGTTTGATTGAGATCAGTCATACACATGGCACAAGAACGGCATTTGCATTCCGCCATTTTAAATCCGATCTGAATAATAAAATTATTACCGTTATATATCAAACATCTATATATGTACGAATTGATGCAAGATGCATCTGCAAAGTTTGAAAGTGGTTGATCAAGACATGTCAGAGATATGGGTCCGAAACATCATTTGTCTTAAAAAAATTGCC